ATACCTTAGTATTTTTGACAGGATGAGGGTTTAAAGGTTTTTCTCCCTCTCTTTGCTTTTTAGAGATTTTTGTTTTAATATACAGGAAGACCCTCAGGAAATCTGCTGGATACATGTGAAGAAAAAGACATAAAACTCGTATCTTCACATCATTCAGGAGTTGTTTATGCGGCTAACAGCTGTTGCTCTTGATTCTTAGGTGATATTTAGCTAGATTTTAATCACTATTTTATAGAGTCCCTTTGATTTTAAAATTATCAGTGACAAAAAGCAGGTGTTTTATAAAAACTAAATTAAGCATTTTAGGCAACACATTTATTATAAATTTTGAAATTAGAACTCTTAAACTTTAAACTCCCTAGACATGGCAGAGGGTTCAGTGACATTATGAATTATAGCTCTGTTGTAGAGTTTGCAAAATGCTTTGTAGCAGATTAACTACTAAAGGGGAGAAAACTCATTTTTATTATTGGTGCTATTAGCGTATTTAACGAAGTGGCTCCACTCTTTTGCTCACAAATGCTCATGCAAAGAGGCTATTTTAATGTAAGTGCTCATGATGTTGCTTATAGCACATTCTTTTTGATTTGGGTTTATCTTCTGATCCTTTCTAGATACTACTCATTTTATTTTATTATTATTATTATTTTAAATTTTATTTATTTATTTGTCAGAGAGAGGGAGAGCACAAGCGGGGGGGCGCGGCAGGTAGAGGGAGAAGCAGGCTCCCCGCTGAGCAAGGAGCCGGATGTGGGGCTCAGTCCCAGGACCCTGGCGATCACGACCTGAGCCGAAGGCAGATACTTAATCAACTGAGCCACACAAGCATCCCGATACTACTAATTTTAAAAGGTACATACATCTAGGTATGCTGTGAAGAGATTTTGCAGACGTAAGGAAGAGATTTTGCAGAGGTAAAATCAGTTGACCTCAAGATAGGGAGGTGATCTGGGTCAGGCCTGGCCTAATCACCCTAGCACTGTAAATGAGTCTAGAGGCAGAGATGGACGAAGATAGAGGAGGAGGGACACAGAGATAGGAAGCATGAGAAGGATTTGATGTGCCTTTGCTGACTTGATAATGGAAAGAGCCATGTGGGAAGGCATGTGGGCAGCCTTTAGAATCTGACAGAGGCTCCTAGTTGACAGCCCACAAGGAAACGGGGACCTTAACCTTAATCTTAGAGACTGGACAAACTGGACAAACAAGGAACTGCATTCTGCCAAGGGGATCTTTGTGCTCCAGATGTGATGAGCCATGGGCTCTGCCAGGTTCCTGATTTTGGCTTTGGGGGACCTTGAGCAGAGAACCCAGCCAGGCCATGCCTCCATAAAGGAAAGATGAGCTGATATATGGGTATTGTCTGAAGTTGCTAAGTCTGTAGTAATTGGTTATGCGGCAATAGATCATACACTGATTTGGAATTTGGTCAAGCTTAGCTTCTTTAGAGAACTAAAGCCATTTTTTCCCTCCAGCCTCATTCTTAGTTGAAAGCAAAAATGAATAAGCAGAAATCATGTCTTTACTTTGATCTATCAATTCAGGACATGAGGCCAGTACCAGTTTATGGAATCTGTTGTTTTGAGCTTTATGTTCCATTGCAGGTGGCTTTTGGCTTGTTTATAAATCAGAATGATTTCCCTTGAGACTATTGTTCTCAGCTGTCACAGTTACCCTTCACTGTGTAGTTCTTCAGCTCTCATTAGAGGGGGAAGATTATTTGCAGGGATGACCGCCATGACTCCTCCTATCCTAGGATCCGGGTACTCAGTTCCCTTTGTAATGTGACCCCTGCTTTTACCATCAAGGGGTGGAGGCTGTTTTCCCTGAAGCTCGGATTAGGGCTGGCTCTGTGCTATTTTTGAATGGTAGAGTGTCTCAGAATGACCTGGAGGCTAGACCTCCTGGGGCCTTACAGCTTTCCTCTTTCCCCCTCTTGGATATAGCTGCCCCGTGAGGAAGTCCCAGCAATCCTGCTGAGAGTCTATGTGGAGGGCATCTGAGGAACAGAAGCAGACAGCTCCAGTCAATATCTGGACTTTGAGGCCACCCAGGACAAGCTGGTCTCTGGCAGACCTCCCATCTGAAGGCAAACACATGACAGAGCCTAGCTAAGACCAAATGGAGCTAATCCCAGCTGAGTGTGATCCACATTGCCAGCCCGTAGCATTGTGAGCAAATCATTTGTTCTTATCTTAAGCTACTAAGTTTTGAGGTATTATTTTTTCCTATAGTAATAGTTAGCTGATACAGATAGTAAAGAACATGACTTTAAAAATACTATTTTAAATTTAAAATTTTATTTCTTTTTTAAAGATTTATTTCTTTATTTCAGAGAGAGAGAGAGAGGCAGAGGCAGAAGGAGGCTCCCCGCTGAGCAGGTTGCCAGACAGGGCTCTGTCTCCCAACAGGGAGATCACGACCTGAGCTGAAACCAAGAGTTGGATGCTTAACCGACTGAGCCACCCAGGCGCCTCTAAAATTTTATTTCTTTTTGAATGGATTGTCTGTTCAAACGTCTGTGTACACAGCACAAAATTTGAGATACAAAAGAGTATACACATAAAAATGAATCTCCTGCCCCCTGGGCACTGTGAAACCTTTCTCACCTCTTTGGAGCTCTTCAGGATAATAGGGCATAAAGCAACAATTTCAAGATTGTGCACAGAGAAAAGAGACCAAAGAAGGAGATAAAGACAACATATCTTATTCCAAATTGATTTGCTTTGCTCTACTTTATGTCCTCAGATGTACATCTCTGCTTTCTTCAGTTTTCCTTAGGAGTAACTTTAAAAGGCCTCCAGATGTCAGAGCAACAATGAGGTTAAAGTTGAGTGTATGGGTGATCTTGTGGGTGAGTGTTAGAGGATAGGAAATTATCAACTATATTCTCCAATAATGTCAGGTTAGGGACTCTATCACCAATAGACTAAGTGACTCAAAACCTTTCAGAGGAGTATTTTCTTTGTATTGTATTTGGAGAAAGCAAGTGAGGAAAGGCCCTCCATGCCACCTGATAATCCATGTTAGCCCGGGAGCAGAAATCCAAGCAGAGCACAGTAGGTGCCTAGGGCACTGACCTTTCCTGGAGTCTTGTCCACATTCAGAATGTGGAATCTACAGAACATCAGACTCGGGCTGAGAGTTTGGTGTTACCTGACCTAACCCTGGGAAGTCTGCTCATGCCCTGAAAACCTAAACGCATTCATTCTACAAATGTCTACTGTGCACCTACTATATTCCAGGCACTGTTGGTAGATGGTATGGGTACAAACATAAGTATCACTCTAGTCCATAACCTTAAAGTTCTTCTGGGCTCCACCCACAGAAACTCCAGGAGCCCCAAACCAAACTGGATACTTGATCCTACCTGGATCAAAATTCCCCTAAGGTGCCAAGGGTGTGAAATATTCAGCCCCAAATAGTGGACTCAGTAAATGGGTGTGGGTGTCTTTTCTTTTAAGAAGGCTTTGACTCAAGAAGTTCAAAGAAAAGATTGAGCTCTTCTTACTGGTTTTGTTTAAATTATGTTTCCTGATACAAGGGCAGGGTAATGACAATGAAACTGTGGACATGTATACCCCAGACTATGGGAAGAAATACCTATTTCCATTCCACTCAGAGGGCAGGGGAAATACTGTGTGGTCACTTGTCACATCCAGACACTCCGCTCACTGTCCTGGCCTCACAGAAGTTTGTCCCAGGTTGCTGTAAGGGGACATTACAGGCTCACTGGAGGGTTAGTGCTTTTCCAAGGTTAGAATCTAGAATTTAATGCATGCTTCTTATATTAGTTTGCTCAGGCTGCCATAACAGTGGCTTAAACAACAGACATTTATCTTCTTACAGTTCTGGAGGCTGGAAGTCCAAGATTAAGATGCTGGCAGGGTTGGTTTCTGGTGAGGCCTCTTCCTGGCTTGCACATGGCTGCTTTTTGGCTATGTCCTCACGTGACCTCTTCTCTGGGTGTCTTACAGAGAGAGAGAGAGAGAGAGAGAGAGAGAAGTCTCTGGTGTCTCTTCCACTTCTTATAAGGTCACCAGTCCTACCAGATTAGGTCCCCACCTTTATGACTTCATTTAAACTTAATTACTTCCCTAAAGGCCCTATCTCCAAATACAGTCACATTGAGGGGTAGGGGTTCAACATATAAACTTGGTGGAGGGGGGACACAATTCAGTTCCCAACACTTTTTATATGCCAGATACTATGTTAAGCAGGAGGTGTATATCATTACCTAATGACATATGTATCAAGTGTAAACTCTGTTCAAGGAGGACGTATATTTACAATACAGAGCAATAATTACCAGGCTGTGCTAGGCATGAGAGGGGCAGAAAAGGTCCATCCAGTTTGAACAAGTCAGGGAAGGCTTCTCAGAGGAACGGGTGTCAGAGAGGAGAGGAACCCTTGTGGGGGTAGAGTGGGGTGAAGGTATGCTAGGCAGCGGGGAGGCATGTGGAAGAGCATAACAGGCGACAGATTCTTTCCTCCAGTCTTTGTATTCACAGAGCAGGGCCATTCAGCAAATACAGCACTTTGGCTGAGTGAGGCCATGGGCGTCTGGGGGATGTAGGAAGAACACACGGAAGAGGTCAAGGTGATACCAAAAATAGACTGCCCCTACCAGGATACTGTAGCAAGGAGCTTGGACTTGATTATGTAGTAGGAATTGGGCACTTGTTCAAGGGTTTTAACTTGAGCAGATTTGCACTTGGAAAGTTCCCTGAGAAGTAGTTTGGCTCGAAAAGAGTGTGTGATTGGAAGCTGGGGAGAGTTGGGAGACCACAGTGTGATGGCAGACACAAAAGGCCAACTGTGGCAGTGTTGGTGGAATGGGGAGTTGGGTATCTAGGCCTCCTGTAGGATTTCTAGGACTTGGGATTGGCTTCCATGTGGGGAATGAAGGTAAAAATCTAGGCTGGATCCCAGGTTCTGGTCTGGGAACTGGCAGACCCTCAGTTAATTACAGAAACAACAACAATGCAAGTGACAGGGAGAGAAGAAAGATGTGTAGGAAACACTATGGATAAAGTTTACACAGGTTAGTTTCTTGGGCTGGGAAGGAGCTTCTTTCTCTCTAAATCCCGTGGCAAGTGATTCCTCCCCTCAATGGGCTTCAGGGACCTAGGGATGGTCAGGCCCTTAAAGAGTTGTGGCTTTAGAGTATCTTTGGAGTAAGTAATTTGCTTACCGAAAATCATAATTGATATGACTGTTCCCTGTGATCATGACCCAAGCTGTTTTAGTCAGAAAAACTGCCCAATGAATAAAGCCTTATTCATCTCTTGCCAAGAAAATTAAAAAACTTTTGATCTAAAATCCACCAACCAGCGGGCCTCATTTGCTACTCTGAATTAGATATTTCTCATTTTTGTTCGATGTCGTCATTCAGGTACATGGTAATCTGAGTTTTAGGGTTGGGCAAGAAGCAATTTGCTGTAAGACAGCTGTAAAAAACGAAAATCGGAGAGGGGAAAAGGGAGGTGAAAAACCTTTCCTCCTTGTGCACAAATTAAATCTCCAATTACTCTTTGATGAATGGGGACAGGGAAGGAATATGAGTAAATTTCCAGGTCACTGGGGTTTCAAGCCCTGGTTTGACAGTAAATTTATACAATTCCAACAAATCTGTTTCCTTTTCCTCCCTGATTCCTTTTGAGTTTTCTTCTGTGACGTATTTGCAGGATTTCAATGGGGAGAGTCTCGCTAAGCCTCACAAGCATAGAGTGGAGATGGGGGCCAGACACCCACCAGCGAGTACGTGAGAGAGACAGAGACAGAGATGGGGAGAGGGAGGGAGAGAAAGATCTTTAATCGTGGGCCTCGTGACCCTACTCCTGCCACCCTGGAGTCCCCATTTCTGTCTCTCATCGGGTGACACTTAGTATTTTTCTTCCAACCTTCCCTCTCTTCTTTCCAAGTTTCTGAAGCCAGCGAAACTCAAACAACAGAAGGAAAACCTCCCGGAACCGAATCCCCCGACTTTCTCCGAGCTCCCGCCTGGCCTGGCGCACTCCCCTCGGGGCCGCGGCGGTCCGGAGCGCGGAGCCCGCAGCCAGCGCGGCGGGGCGGGGCCTGGGCGGAGTCTGGGCGGGGCTTCCGCAGTCGCACCCCGCCCCCAGCCCTGCCCCGCCGCTTAATTCGGATGCGCTGGGCCGCGGGGTGTGAGAGAGCCGCCCTGCGCTGGACGGGCCGCCGCTGCCGTCAGAGCCGCCGCCCGCGCCGCCTCGGGGCCGCCCTGAGCAGTCGGGCCGCTGGGCGCCGCCGCGGCTGCCCGGGGTGAACGCCGGCGAGAGAGCCGCGCGCCTTTGTGAGCGCGCCGAGGTAGGTTCGCCTCCCGCACTTACTTTGCACACAAAGACTGGGAGCTCGGGGTAGGCGGGTACCCGCCGGGGAGACTGCGCGGCCGCCCGCCCAGCCCTGACCCCCGGCCCGAGGGACCCCAGGGCGGAAAGGGCCGCCGGCTTTCCCTCCCCGCGGCGGCCCGTCAGCTCGGCGCGGGCGGTGGGGCGGGGGTCCCTGCGTGCGCGGGAGGAGGACGCGCAGGGCGGTGGGCGTGCGGAGAGCCCCGGCCACCCCGCGCGGTGCCCGGGGAGGGCCTGGGGTGCAGGGCCGGGGCGTGGCAGGGCCCCGCGCCGTGGCCCCCGGCCCGAGGGGCGCTGGGGAGGCGGGGGGCGCTGCGAGGAAGGGGAGCCCAGGCGGCCGCTCCGCTCGGCTTATTGTTGCTTCCTCGGCCCTGAAAATGGAGAGACCCTGCCTGGAGCTGGTGCGCTGCCCACCGGGAGCGCCGCGCGCGGCCAGATGCCGAGCCCTAGGCGCCCGGTTCGCCCCTCGCTGCGCGGGCGCGCTCGGGGTGGTGGGAGCGGGCTCCGGGGTCGCAGCGAGCCTGTGCCTGGGCAGACAAAGGAGGGGCCGCGGGGGGTTTGCCCCACTGGTTTAAAGGTGACTGTCGCACTGTTTCCAAACAGTCTGCAAGTAACTTTTCCATTTTTGACTCTTTTACGTTCCCACTCTTCAGTAAACCCAGCATGTTGCGGGGCGTCTGCAGCCCTAGAAGTCCTAAAAATTGGGTTCCCATAATTTCTCTCCAAGCATCTTCGGGTCCCTTGGGGATGGCACGGCTATGTATGCCCAAATTCTGACATGCTGCGTAGGGGATGGTAACAGCCCCTTCTGAAATGTGGAGAGAAATGCTGTTGAGAGGGTAAATTGCAGATCTTAATCTCTGCGGCAAGGTACCATACCCTTCCTTCCCTCCTCAAAAAAACAAAACAAAAAACTTCAGTCAACGATAGTAGAGCTAAGTTATTTGAGTAGAATGAGTATGATATTAAAGGGAAATACAGAAAAACGGGATGAGGCTTGTTAAACTTTACATTCTTTAACTTGAGGATTTCTTGCTAACAGGTATGTTAGTTTTCTCCTCTTACCACGACCCCCTGGCCATTACTTTGGAGATAACTAGCTGTCCAAGTTGATTTAAGTTGAAATAGTACCCGAGGTGCCTGTCTAGAGATTCCTTAGTGGTAGGAGTTTCAGGTTTAAAACTTTTAAGTATAGAATGATGTATATTTATTATAAAAATGAAAAAATATAGAAAAGAAGGTCACTTATGCCTACCACCCAAACACACCCTGAGGATGAAGACATCTTAGCTTGATTTATGGCTTGGCAGCCATGGTATGATTGATTGAGAGAGAATGTGTGTGTGTGTGTGTGTGTGTGTGTGTGTGTGTGTGTGTGAATAAATGAAGGAGTTACTGATTCTTAATCTTTACCAGTCCCATCAGACTAAAATATATCGAATAACCATAGTCTACCATAGTGGTTTGCCACTTTAACACAGGATTAATACCAACAAGTTGTCTGAAATGTATTTTCTTATAGCCTTAAAATAACTACCTGTACAGAAGGGGGAAGGGAAGAAATAGGAAAAACAAGGTACTTTCCACTTAATTTGGAAGAATAAACCAACAGAAAAGTTTTAGGGACTGTGTTCTTTAGATTTCAGGAGTAGTTTTGGATTGACTATTTTTTTTAAATAAAAAAAATCAGCTTATAAAATATTTAAAAAGCAAAATTCTGCAATTGAGAAGTATGTGATGGAAAGACACTCTTTGTAGAACAAGAAATGACAGAGGTTTTATAGCCAGATACATGTTTACTTCTGAAAGTAAAAAGATTTCCTGTTGAGTAGTGAGTGGTTTGGAGTGTGTGTGTTCTGTAAAAAAAAAAAAAAAGCCAAAAGAACAACACATTGTTCAAATCTAGATTTGTCACTGAATGCTTTTGTTATTACATACACTTATTTTCCACTTGTAAAGTTTTCGGACGTTTCATTTCTCCAATTTCCACTTGTAAAAGTTTTGGACATTACCCCATGCAAAGTAAAGAGAGGTCTTGGAGGCAACTGTGTAGGAGTAGATTGATCCTGAGGATGATGCAATCAATACTTTTCAAAGTCAGAAGAATTTACAAGAAGGAAGTTGTGGCTTTGTACTGTCAGGTGCAGTGTTCGTTCCTGTGCCTAACTTGGGGCTCCTTAATCTGCATACAGGCTTACAGGGAGCTTTTGCCCCTGTTAAGTAAGCAGTGACTTGTAAGTCCCGAGTGTGAAGTATATGGTGCCAAGTATGTCGTCCGCTGTAATGATTCGCGTTCCTTCAGAGATAAGGGGACCCTGCCACATACACAAGTCAAAAGAAACTCAAATAGGAAATATGAGAATTTTTAGATACTGTTTTTCAACCCTTCTGTGGCCTTGGACACCATAAGCACTGTAAGCAATGTAAAGCCCAGCTGGAATAGAGATCAGAGCTGAGTAGCTTTGCCTTTTTTCTATAATGTTGCTTCAAGGGGAGGAGAGAAAAGATTGGGATTGGTCCCGTGTCGTGGACTTGCTATGGCTGTTCGTGACGGCCAGCGTCTCGCACCCCGCCCCCCCGGCCTGGACTGCAGAATCCATTCTTAGGCTGTTTAAAAGGAGACTTGCTTTGCGTTTTTGAGAAGTGCTATGAGAAATCCTGTTCCTGAACTGTGGTAGGGTGGACGCTCTTACTCATTCCGTTCTTTGTTTAAAATGTCACAAGGTAGAGGGAGAAGATTTATACTGATTTTCTTTGGGAGTGGTTGAGGGGTGGAAGACTTTTCTCTGAAAAGAGGGACCCTAGTAGATTAGTAATGTGGCTTTAGTGTTATTAGTGAGGTCTTGTTTGCACCTTCTTTCCAGGATTCTGTGCACAGAATGTGTTTTAAAATGGGTCAGGAGGGGCGCCTGGGTGGCTCAGTTGGTTAAGAGTCTGCCTTTGGCTCAGGTCGCGATGGGTTGAGCCCTGCCTCAGGCTCCCTGCTCAGCAGGGAGTCTGCTTCTCCCTCTCCCTCTGCCCCCCTCCCCCCACCTGCTCGTGCCTTCTCTCTCTCTCTCTCTCTCTCTCAAATAAATAAATAAAATCTTTCCAAAACATTTTAAAAAAAGTTGTTTAAAGACAGTGATGTTAAGCGCTGTGAATTAAGGTAACTGAAAGAATGATGGAAATCACAGCTAAAGCTGAGGGGTCGGGTTTCTGACTAAAAGGTGAAGGCTGGGGAGAGGCATGAGAGGGAAATGCACGTCCCTTGCTCCGGGCTGATCAGTTAAGAGCCTGGTGGTGGTAGGGGTGTGGCTGAACACAGGAAGAGGGCTGTTCATTTTCGTGTAGAGTGTGGCTGAGGGGTTGGGGCACTTTCTAGCGTGAGGGAAACAATGGTATTGCTCTCGTGTTCTTGCTGGAGGTAAACCTCAAGGCCAGGGGCCCTTGGAAGCCGGTTGTGGTGGGGACACGGGGTCCTGAGCTGTTCCGAAGGTTTCCCAGGAGCTGAGGGCTAGTGTCATGCAGGGGCGGGGGGTGACTGACTACAGCTATGCCCAGCAGAAGGTCTGTTACAAATGAGAAGACGAGGTTTGTGGGGAACTTGTGGAAAGACTTCCCTCATGTTTTTCAAACTCCGGTGAACTGTAGGAAGGAGAACGGAGGGGAGAGGTTCAGAAAAAGGAAGGAATGTTGCCTTAACACTAGGTGGACGCTTTAGCCCTTCTGCCGAGGATTTCCCTGGAGGGGAGCAGTGGGGCCCAAGTGTTGTAGAACTGTAGCCATAGTCTGTGCTCTGTGGTGCTGTGTGCAGAGGGGAAGTGGGAGGGAGGCATAGTTTGGTGACAGTAATGTTCCCCCCACACAGCGAAATCTTGGGGTTCTGCGGTGTGAAGAAAACACCCATTAAAAAAAAAAAAGAACCCCCCCCCCCCGCCCTTTAGAGGCCTTGAAACATCAAGGGCCTCTAGGCTGTCCACAGTGCTTTTCCTGCTTATGCTACTGAATCATAAATTCCGTCATTAGACCCAGAAATCTTAAATGGGGGGTTGCCCAGCCTATGCAACCTTCTGCGTTGAGTATGTGTTGTGAAGTCTCCTCCAAAAACAGGATGGAGAAAATGCAGGTTACGGACCAGCTATCTTCTTCCTGGCTGGTTGTAGGTAGATGTGGTTTGGAGGGTTCTTGATTATCCTTGTTGTTGTCAATGCCGACTTGTGTTGCCCTGGAGCATCTGTGGGGTGCTGCCCTGCTCAGTCCCAACCCTGGGCTAGAGAGTGTGATTGGGAAATGGGATGCCTTTCTTCATGTGGTGCAGGGGAAGCCAGACACCTGTGAATCAGAATCCAGGCCCCAGCTTTGTGACCTGCAGCGAGTCACAGAACCCCTGGGAGCTCCAGTATTCTCATGTGGGAGATGAACTTAGTAAGACCTACCCCCCCAGCACGGCAAGGGCAAATGCAAGGTCACGAAGGCCCAAACACACAGTTCCCGAGACATGGGCATTAGGCTGTTGTACCATTGCCCACAGTCTTAACTCCAGTTTCTAGTAACTCCGCAGTGGTGGTGCCAAGATGCTGACCAGGGCCATGTAGGGAAGCGCGAGGGACGTCCCCCCCCCTTCCCCTGGCTCCTCAGGATGCCGTCATATCTCAGGAGTGTTGTAAAGATAACCTGGCTTTGATAAGAGAAATGAAATGTTCTGTTATATCCTTGGACACAAGGTTTGTCATAAAAAAGTGTGTAGGAGAGAGGGCTGTGACGCTCATGTCAACTTTTCTGTCATTATTAACATTTAAAACTCAGCACACTCCGTGAGAGTTAAGGTTAAAACTCACATTTTATCTGGGCCTGTTGCATGCTAAGGAGCTTATGAAACTATACAGTCATATTATAAACTCCTGCAGTATGAATAATCAGAAGTTGTTTATGAGTGTCTAATGTGGATGACTTCAAATTTCCATGTCCTGGAGGAAGTTATGGATATGTATATGTAGAAAGACTTTCTTCATAATATTCTTTTCCCTTGTAACTTAATGGCATTTAAAATAGCTAAAGCTGTGGTCAGAGTTCATATTGTTCTTGCTGTTTTTAATGGATGCACAGAGTAGTGTAGTGTAGTGGCGGGGGGGGCGGGGGAGAGACCTAGATTTTTAAAATTTTCAGAATCTTAAATGCAAGCTCCCCATTAATTAGTATGATTTTTTGAGCAGGTCGTTTATGTCTTGTTTTCTGCTTCCTCATCTGTAAACTGGACGTAATCACCCTTGCTGACCTCTTAGAGCTGTCTTGAGGGTGAGGTGAAGCTTGCACGCTTTATAGCTGGTGGAGTGGCCCCCTGACTGTAAGTTGTCATCCAAGGGACTTCCCTGTGGTTCTGTGGCACTCAGGCCATCCCTTTAGGACAGGGGTGGATCTTTGAAGGCAGAGGAGACAGAGAACAGACGGTTAGGGAAAATCAGCTGCAGCATCCTTTAGATTCCTGCCGAAGTGAGAACATGTTACTCTGCGCTCGTGGAAAGGAGGCATCTTGAAGTAGTAAAGTGTCACACTTAAGAGTTAACCCGGGTTAGCCCGTCGACCTAGGAGGGCTTCCATATTCTTTTTTTTTTTTTAAGATTTTATTTATTTATTTGATAGAGAGAGACAGAAAGAGAGGGAACCACAAGCAGGGGGATTGGGAGAGGGAGAAGCAGGCTTCCGGCTGAGCAGGGAGCCCCATGCGGGGCTCGATCCCAGGACCCTGGGATCATGACTGGAGCCAAAGGCAGACGCTTAACGACTGAGCCACCCAGGCGCCCCGGGCTTCCATATTCTTATCTGTGAAATATAATAACAGTAAACATAACATTATTTTTATTATTACCAACTTACAGTTCTCGAGGACTTCCTACCTGGCAGGCATTGTGCTAAGTGCTTTATGAGATTTCTTCATCCAGTATGTATTTAATGAATTTTCCTCTCTGCCAGGCTCTGTGCCAGACTCTGGGGTCCGTGGCTGGGACAGTGGGCAGGACTGACGAAATCCCTGCCTGCGTGGAGTTTTCATTCTGCAGGAAGACAGACAGTATGTGATTCCAGGGAGCGTCAGTGCTATAAAGAAACCAATCAGGGAAAGGGGCTGGAGTCTAGTAGGGGAGGAAGTGGTGTTTTTCACAGGGGCAAGGCCCATCTGGGGAGGCGAATTTGAGATCTCAAGGAAGGAAGGGATGAGCCTCGCCCCCATCTGGCTGTGTAAGGGCAGGTGCAAATAACAGCCCAGAAGCAAGAGGAGCTTGCTCTTGGGGAAGGGCAAGAAGGCCCCGGTGGATGGAGCCAGTTTTGGGGGTGGGGGAGGAATATGAGGTGGGGTCCTGAATGGGCATCGGATCATGTGGGGCCTGCAGGCCATGGTCTGGTCAGTCGTGGGAGGGCTCTGAACAGGGATGGTAGAGCTATGTTCTCTACATACCCCTTTGGCCTGGAGTGCAGTGGTAACTGCAGAGGGGCCAGAATGGAAGTCCAGAGACTCCAGAGTGGGAGGCTTTTGTGAATCCCCAGGGATGTTGTGATGACTGGGATGGGACTGGTAAGAAGTGGTTGGGTACCTGATACAGTTTGAAGATGGAGCCATCGGGACTCACTAATGGATTGGAGCTAATATCCGAGAGGGAGAGGAGTCATGAGGGACACCCACACTTTTAGCCTCAGCAGCTGCAGGAAGGGTGGCGCCCTTTATTGATATGGGAAACCCGGAGGGGCCAAGGGAGGGTGATGTAACGCTCACGGTAGCCTCTGAGAGTAATACTGTGGTGATTCCCCTTTCACAGATATGGAAACTGGCACTTAGAGAAGTGAAGAGTTTGCCCTGAAGCGAACGAAGCTGGGTCAGGATTGAGATCCAAGTCTGATCCTTGCCCAAGCTCGCATACTCTACCATTTCTGCTGTACTCTGTAAAATACCTGAATTCGCTATTATCATGGAGTGGTATGAAAATGCCTGTGTGAACACTCTGGAAACACATCTCTTTTATATGTCAGTGTGGCTTTCTTTATTGAGGTGTAATTTCCATTCCCACAATTCACCCATTGGCAGTGTGCGGTTCTCTAGTCTTTAGTAGATTTATGCAGTTGAACAACTGTCACCCCAGTCCTGTTGGAGATTTTGCGGTCGTTTCCTGTTCCTATCCCCAGTCTTAGGCAACCACTCATCTTTTGTCTCTAGAATTTTGCTTTTTCTAGAAATTTCACCCTCAGAGAATCATACAAGATGTGACCTTTTGTGTCCGGCTTTGTCCGTTTTAACAGAATGTGTTTGTGGTTCACCCACTGTTGTGCCATGCATCTGCTTTTGAGGAATGTGTTTTTCCTTTTGTCAGGAAGAGGTGCTCTGTGCTGATGAGAATGATTTCCACTGAGATGGGTCAATAATATTGCCTGGCATTTGCTGAGCATTTACTCTTATGCCGGGCGTGGCAGTGTTCATTGTCTTCTCTGATCTTCCAAGGGATTCTTTGAGGCAGGTAGCGTTATTAGTGTTGGACAAATGAGACACTAAAGCACAGAGAGATTAAAAAGCTTGCCCAAGGTTATGATAAAAGCCAGGATCACACTTGGGCCTTCGCCCTCAGAACCATGTCTGTGTTCCCTGTGTTGATAACGTGTTTGGCTTCTTAACTTCAGAAGGGGTTTGGGAGTAATGCAATTGCCAGGTAAATCCAAAATTACAGTTTTCAGAATATTTGTACTGCGTTTTTATCTTCGGCTTTACCCTATGGAAATTATAGCGTCTTAAAGTGATTCATTTTTTTTTTTTAAGTGATTCATTTGTGACGTAGCTTTCTTTTAGGCATCACGTAAGGATGGTGCCAAATTAAAATCACATAATTATGTCATGAGGCAGAGCTTGTGTATTTGAGTAGTTTTAATTATTATGTTTACCAGAAATGCCATTTTTGTACAAACTATCCCAAGGCTATTGCCTTATTAATGGATGGAATTTAATTAGGCATGATGCATTTTTCAATGTTTATATAATTATACATTAATACATTTTTCCCTCTTTGTAACAATTCTGTATTCAAGCAGTATTTTTTCCTATTCACACATAATCCATGTTGGGAGGTTTCATATTCCCTATTGAAGAGGAATTCTTTGTGTATCCCCAATATTCTGAAAACTTTCAAAACATTTTAAACACCTCCTCTGTGTTTTTCTGTTTACCTTTTTTTTTTTTTAAAGATTATCAAGTAGCTTGGTAAGAGCTGGTTATATAATAACTTTACACCAGGATTCTGCCCTTTGTTTCTCGTGAGACACTTTACCAGCCTCACAGCTTCCTGACTTTCTAAAACAGAATTATGGCATCGTTAAACTAACTCTGTAAGTGTGGCACATCTTTCATTTTTTAGGGATTTTTAATTACGGTCCCAGTTTACTAGTTCAAAATAGCAAATGAAAAAAAAAGCTGCTCTTTATTTTAGAGTACCTGGTTTGAAGAGTCAAGAAATTAACAATTTTGCGTTATGATCTACAAAGGTCTCCTTCAGTTAAAAAGTCTATACGGTTGGAACCTCAGGGAAGTCTGCTGTGTTTTTAAAAGAAGATTAACCAGTGACATGGCACGTCTTCGAAACTGGTGAAAGGAGACAAACACCGTTCCACAGCCATTGGGGCAGTTTGGGGAGCGGCGGGTGAAAAGCCCTAGGACTTGAGCTAGAAGCTGTGGGCAAGTCCGATTAGGGGACAGAGTTCAAGACCCGCAGGGGGCAGTAAAAGAGCCGTATCTTCAGTCACCATCGCCCTCTGTTCACGTTGACGGTTTGCACCCTGGCTGGACAGCACGTTTCAGCTGCAGAGCCCACCAGCATGCAGAGTGTGGACATTGGAAACAGGCCCCAACCTGTTTCTTTTCCCATTCCAGGCGTGCTTCCGACTGGCCCCACTCGCCTTGAGGAGAGGGGCTGTTAGATTGGAAAGACAAATCAAATACAATTAAAATTGTAGGGAGTGAAAAGCAGTGGACGCTGTACGTGTGAGATATGTGCCCTTTCCATTATGTACGTTATTACCTCTGTTAGATATGTTTTAAAAAAAGCAAGACAGGAAACAAAAAGAAACTCAGCCAAATTCCGGGGAATAAAGGCGGGCGGTGGGAGTGTCGCTCAAGAAGGCAAAAGTGAAGTTGCCACTTGTGTGTTGCTCGCCTCTTTTCTCCCGTTGCACAGGTAACTTGCTTGCTTCAGAGGCTGATTTTCCTGCTCGGAGCAGTGATTTTATGCTCTTGAGGTGAATGGGTTTCAGATGAAGCTGGGGCCTGCTGGAAACCTATTGGCAAATTTGTTAGCAGGGGAACCTGTAAATTTCCTCTCTAGGTCACCCCAGGACCTAACTGCCTCTTGTTCTACCAGCGGTGAATCTTCTGAATCTTCTTACCTGAGTTTCCCCTTTCTGTGCGGGGCTGGCTGGGGCCCCGCCGCCCAGACCCCCGTTTCTGCTGATGGGCCCTGCCCTTTCATTGTGGGGTGGCTGAATGCAAGGTTCCAGAACATTAGACGGCAAGGTCTGGAGGAGGGCAGGGGTCTGTAGAACTCCCGTCAACCCAGCATTGACTTCGCTCCCATTAGGTTTCTTCAAACTGGCATGGGAACAAAGCCCACACTTAACTGTCTGATTGTTACGCTTCCTGAAGCTTTTTAACTCTGGAGCAGCTCTTCTTCTTCCCAACCCTTTTCTCCAGAGCTGTTGATTTGTGGAAGAATCGGGTCAGTTGTCTTAGAGAGTGGCCCACATTCTCAACTTGGCAGATAGTTTAAACCTGTTCCACTAGTCTCTGTAAGGTCTGTAAACTGGAAGTTAGCCCTAAAGCTCGATTAGATCCAGTTGTTTGGGTAAGATCAGTCTTTGGTGGTGGTGTGTACTTCACGTTGCGTCATCTGAGGAAAGTGTCTGGGTGTCTCCCTTGTGGTGATACTGAGATGGCTCCCTGAGTTCACGGGGTGGCCGCTCGATCCTTTCATTGTGAATTTCCTCATCCTCCTTCCCTTAATGTCTGTTGGCGTCCCCTGAGGACTGTTACCCAAACTAAGGGTCTCCGGAGAGGTTGTTGATTCTTCTTTCTTCAGGAACATGGTTAGTGAGAGTGAGGTGGAGTTTAAACTGGCCAGGGGTCCGGGAAAACCAGCGATGTTGATGCAGCTTAGGGACATCTAGAGTGTTAATAGAGAAGTAAAGACTGGTCTGGTTCTCTCCAGATATCACGAATGCTTCCTATCATTAGAGCTAATTACCACTTGCACAGTCTTTTATGACTGTTAACTGCGTCAGGTTAATTTTGTTGTAAGCCTGGCTTAGCAGCAGCAGCATTAAATTCTCTCCTGTTGTTTACATAACTCAGGTGCCTGGCCACCACCTAAATTAGGAGATTATGACGTGGGTTTATGAGATTGAATCCGGTGTGATGGTGCGCACCATGACAGATTATCTTTTTCAATAATCATTTTAAATTTGACAAGTAAGGACATTAAAGCCCTGTCTCTCCTTAGAAATGGTGTCACTGATGAGTTTAAAACAATGGGAGTGAGAATTATAAATCTGAAAAAGTTTCTGTTCCGCCCGGATTTAAGAGCAGTGGACCTTTAGTGGCAGCTTTTCGACTTCATCGTTAAGCTGGAAAGGATAGATTCTTGCCTTGTTTCCAGCAGGAAGTAATTGAGAGCTCCTTTAATAAAGGAGGGTGGTTACAGCAAATGAATTTAATTTACATATGCTCCTTCCTTGCCAAGCCTCACCTGGATCTATTACACCAGCATCCTGATTTGGGGACAGCCTCAACCTTTGAAAGCCACTGAAAGGGAAATATACTGAGTCCTCCTATCACAGGCAGGCCTTCCTTTTACACATCGTGCCACTTGTGAGAGGGATCACCACAAAGCAGGTTCTAGGATTCCCATAAGCACAGTCTCACGATGAGGAGTTGTGTTTGTGACCACACAATTGGTATCAAATCATGGCTGTGACCAGTAAATCCTAAAAGAGAAAGGTGTGGGTACTAGAGGCCTAAAGGAGTTTGAAATTGTAAGCCACATGACGTTGTCAGAGAGGGGTTGAGCTTGGACAAGCCGTAGAGATCAAGAGATCATCTAACCCAGACTCCTCATTTTTTAGTGAATAATCCGATGCTCAGACCTGGTATCTAGCTGGCCTCAGACCACCACAGCTAATCACTGGTGGAGTTGGAACTGAACTTGGTCCAGAAGGGAGGGTCACTAATACTTAATGCATTTCTTGTGCACATGCTGAATGCTTTATGTGCGTCATTTTTTTGATCCTCATCCAATCCCATGACTGTATTTTACCAAAGAGAACACTGGTCTATAGAGACCTTCAATAACTAATCCAAGATCACACAGAACTCTATACACTTGCTACAGAGAACGTGTGCTTGTCCTCCTTGGGGCACTGTCTTTCTCTTCACCCCTTCTTTCTTTTCCTCCTTCCTTCCTTTTTATTATTTTTTAAACTTTGTTATTTTTTACTAAAGGGTTGCCCTGTTCCTTATGCCCCATGAACATGGCCATTCTAGGACCTTCCGTATACTCTAAAAACTATATTAAAAATCTGTAAGCTCTAATTTATTGTGACTATGGTAAATGGAAAATGAAGCACTCACCATAAGAAGTATTTAAATAATTAATTTGTTTATTTAACAAGTAGTTCTACTTGGCTTCTTAGCATGTTGAGCTCTTAGGTGATAGATGGTTCAGAACTCTTAAAAAGAGGTCTAGGTAGGTTTGAACGGATGGCCTTTTTCTTTTGATAAATACCCTGTACCCAGCCAAAGCTTGAAAGACATAATTCCCTTGATCATTACTGAAAACAAATTGCCCCCTCATCCTTTAATTACTGGGAAACATGCCCGAGGCCCTGGCTGGTGGTGGGGTCTGGGAAGCAGAAGTTTCTGGGATGAGCGCCTCATTCTCTTCTGCTTCTCCTCCTGTTTCTCTTCTTCTTTAGTCACACCCTGGGAGTCCTATGGCACAGATTTCATCAAGAGCAAGTCTTGTGGGAGCCAGTGGGCCGAGGGGTGGTGGGCGGAGGGCAATGGAGGTGAGTCGTCAGGCCTCTGGAAGCGGGAGATGGTGTTTGGTGTTGGTTTTTTGAGCATTAGCTTCTTGCTTCTTAGGACTGGAAGACTCAGCTTTTTCTCTGTCCACGCTGTCTCCACAGAGCGTGGTGTGGGTGCAACAGGGGCATTTATTAGACCAGTTGGTCTGTGTCACGTGAGTACACAGGGAGGGGAAATGTGGAGACCCTGGGAGTGTCCAGGGAAATGTCCACTTGGATGTCTCTTGTACTCTGCTCTGTTGGGGACTTTAAACAATTTGTGATAAAACAAAAACAGTCAGCTTTGCAGCTGTCCATATATATATGCCCAGACTAGGTCTTTTTTTTTTTTGTTTTGTTTGATTTAAATGCTTCTAAATTGCCTTTTTCATGAGCTTCCTGTTTGATTTGTACAGCTGAAGTCTGTAATGATTGGATCTACCAAGACTGTTTTTTTGTGTTTTTTTTTCCTTTCTCCATTTGCGCTAGAAACAAACAGCTTACAAATAGAGTCTGGAACATGCTGTATCCATGTGCGTCTCCATGCGCCTGATCACATAGCTGACTAACTTCATATACTCCTATTTATAGCCTCTTCAGAGTAAGTGTAAAACGTTAGATGTTCCCTCTACGAACCTCATGTCGATTAACACGACTCTTTAAATGGAAATAAATGAATTTTTACTCACGGATGAGTCACTTGATAATCTCCTTTGAATGCACACCCACTGTTTCTCGGGAGCGGGTCGCTCCAGTCACGAGCCCGAACTGTCACAGGAGTGATGGGGTGGGGGAGGCCTCACAGCGTGGGTGCTCTCGCTCGGCATTGCTGACTAGACCAGCATCTCCCAGCTCCTTCGTGCATGTGCAGGACTAGAATTCTCTTCCCTCCATCCCTAATTCAGTACCGGTTCCTTTGCTCTCACCCTGCCTACAAGTGTCCTGGCAGCGGCCGCCCCAGAGGAATGTGAACAAAAACCAGATTCAAAACTTCCGAGTCACAGGGATGATGGTGACACTTTCATTGCAGAAAAAGAATAATGTTAGGAAAAAAGCCGCTCACGCCATCTGTCATTGTAAAAAAACTGCCTTTTTTTTTTTGGATGAGCGGGTTCTTCGTTCTTGTTCATACTAATAGAAAGTCTTAAAAACCTTAAAAGTAGTTACTCATAACACCAACGAAAGCCTAGGGATTCATTTGAATGTGTGAGAACTATCTTTGCTGACTCTCGTCTGTTCACATTTTGACTTTTAGTGCAAGCAGCTTCCTATGAGTGAATACATATGTGATTTCTTTCTAAATAAATATATAAGAATATATTTTGGTAAAGAAATATATGAGAATACAGTTCTCTAAGAACAAGTGTTATGAGTTCTTCCCATGATTGTGGAAGGATGCTCTTCACCTTACCATTCCCTGCAGGGCTTTTTAAACTGTTGGTTATCATTTATTCCAGGAACTGGCATACTAGAAAGAACGTGTGCCTTATTTTAGGTAGCCCTGGTGGCATGTAGTAGTAAGTTCTTTTCAACTCTGTGAGCTCCAGTTTCTCATCTCTGCGATGTGAATATTAGGCAGGTAATGCAGGTTAAGCCCCAGACGTCATGCCTGCATGTAGGTGTTAACAAATGTTAGGGTTCTTCCTTTTCGTGCTCCCCCCAAGCTGGTGTCTGCATATGACATTAAACGTGATTGTTTTCACTCACCCAGTGGAATAAAACTGTTCAGCTCCACTGGACCTACTTAGAGTCTGCCCAAGGTTTGGGATGAGTGCCATCCTGGTGGGCCTTCTATACCTGAAGTGCTGAGCCAGTTTTATAAATAGTGGCAGAATAGAGGGATGCGTTAGGGAGCTCTGGGTGAGGGGTCAAACCTGGGACTTCGGGGCCTTATGAGAGAGTGGAAGAGAAAACAATGGACCCAATATGGATATGGTATTTCTCGTAGTTCTGGAGGCTAGAAGTCCCAAGATCAAGGTGCTGACAGATTTGGTGTCTGGTGAGGGCCCTCTTCCTGGTTTGCAGATGGCGTTCTTGCTCACAGGGTATCCTCGCATCACGGAGAGAGAGGTCGTCTCTCTTGTGTCTCCTCTTCTAAGGGCACTCACTAATCCCATTCACGAGGGCGCTACCCTTGTGACCTAATCACCTCCCAAAGGCCCCACCTCCAGATACCATCACATTGGGCATTAGGGCTTCAACGTAAGAATGTTGGGGAGGTGTAAACAGGCAGCCCCTACCAATGGCCAGTGTGGACAGAGGTTTAAAATCTGTGGACAGGCAAGGTTCTTAGAGACAAAGACATGTTCTGCACAGAAGGTCGGATTTCGGTGGCCCGGCGTGGAAATGGAAGTAAGGAGGATGTGATGAGTGAGTCAGGAATCCCAGCCAGAGGAGAAAATCAGGTCAGTAGGTCACCAGTACCCGGGAGTTGCAGTGATGGCAAGTAAGGGTTCTTGCCTGGTTCATTTGTGGGTCATGGGCTCCTGTAAACACAGGGACTGACTGTTAGGTGAGTGGTCCAGGGTCAGTGCTTAAAGGCAGGAGAGCAGCCCACCAGGTACCTCATGGACAGGGATGAGGTACCTTCTGTTTACTCTGGGATAAGCTTGCTGTGTGTCTTTTATGTCATGAGTAATTATTAGTAGAGCCTTCATCCGGTCTCCACAGTGACCTGGTATCACTGACAAATAATTTAGCTTTCCTCGGTACATATCCTTGGTTGCAGATACCTGTTTCTTGTGTGTTTGAATAAAGGTCCTTGATCAAAGGTTTGACTGACATGAGGTTCTTTGGGAAGCCCCAGGCTTCCTGCTTCATTGTGGGGAGCTTGGCTACCATCTCTTTGCCTGCTTATTATTTGCATTCTGAAAAACATTCTGCACGGCATTTTTCAGCGTTCTTTTCTCTCTCAGTGTATGTTTTCAGTGACTCTCGGTTTTGGCCGTGACCCACGAGTGCTGCACCCTGTAATCCAGTCACACCTAGCAGTTACCCTAATTGCGCTTCCTCGCCTGGACCTCCTTAGGAGGCTGTGCTTTCCGTGGGGCTCCCTGCAGGGCATAAGCTCCACCTAATGCCTCAGTGGCAGGACTAGTGAGAGGCAGAGAGGAGGAAGAGAGGAGGGAGAGGATGCTTGGCCTTCTTTTACTGGTCAGCCTGATTAGAAGGGCTTTGGGAAGTCTTGGCTGCCTGGCAATCGAGGCGTGAGGGAGTGGCGGGAGCGGGTGGGGTAAGCGGGGCTCCGGGCCATCTTGGTCTATTGATAATGCACCCTGTGTTTCTTGTTCCCCTTGGCATGGGCTCTCTGTCCCTTCTGGTGAGAGCTTCATTCCCCAGAAGAAGAGTTGACGTTCTTCCTTGAAGTTCCATGAGCACTAGTAGAGCACACAGCATTCTGTCCTGTTTTGAGACTGCTCGGTGGGTGATGAAGTGGAGTGAAAGGCTCCACGCCGCTGGGATGAAAGTGCAGAACTCACCTGCACATCGTCCCCCGCCGAGAAGTGCCTTTCCTCATTTGGGTTTCTCTGTGGTCACTTGATCACAGATTGCATTTTTCCGTCTCTGATCCAAAACTCGGAGGATGGAGATCTTGACCTCCAGAGTGCTTCTTCCTAAGTTCTGCTGCCGCTCTGGGTCAGACTCCGATGGACGGGATTCAGACTGTGAGGAAGCTGGGCTGGCTTCAGTCCTGCCGTTCAAAAAGCGCATGAAGAGTGTGCGGCCTCTTTCTTCAGCCTGTTTCAGACTCAGTGTGTGTCAGCATCAAGATCTGCACAAGTCCGAGGAGTTCCTTTTCAAAGGGATCCGTTTACATCTGGTTTTGTATCATTTTAGTCCCATATTGCCTGAGCTTAAAAGCCTCCTTCTAAGGACTTGCCTTGAAACCCACCCCTGTTTCCCCAACACCACAACCACCTCCAACAGATCCTTTTAGGGGAAAACGCGGTCCTGTACTTGAGGCTGTGTCCCCAGGCCCCGGATCTCAAGAAGTGGCCTTGTGATAATACTGCACAGTGTCCCAACCACATAGAAACACAGATGGTTGATCCTCCTAGTGAGTGGACGATGTGTGTCTGTGTGTTCGCCTTCCCTTTGCTTCGGTTGCTT